GAAGCAGATGACATGTCACATGTAGTGTGTTATAATTGTATTCTATTTTCCTTTAGTTATATGGTGAGAGTTCATTCAGATGACAAGTGATTTCATCGCACCAGCCCTAGGTTCTGTACACTAATGAGTTACCGTAGTCTGTGTTGAGGACATGAAATTAGCTGTGGTGTGGTTCTAACTGATTATTGCATACACCATGGTATCATCCCTATAATGTGTCGTCTGATCTTTGGTAACTTTAGCCCGTACACGAGAGGATTCAGAACTGGAGGAATGACGACAAATTCCAGCGACAGAATCACAGCCACGAATGGGTTGATCTCATCGGGATCGTACCGGCTCAAGGCGATGTCACAAAACCCTGCGATGGAGTAAATCACGAACGAAACCAGGTGCGGCAGACAGCTCTGTAATACTTTCCCTTTGAATTCTGCGGATTTCTTCCAGCAAACAACCACGATTCGTAAATAGGTGTAGAGCACAAAGAAAAGAGGAAGGAAAACTATGCCTATGGTTAAAAACATACCTACGACATTGTTGATGGACGTGGTGACACATGATAATTTCACAACACTCCAGTTGGCGCAATACACTTTTTGTATCTCGTTACCACAAAGAGGGAGCGTGGCGGACAGAGAGATGCACGCTGTGAGGACAAACGTCGGAAAAAACCAAGCAATTACTATCAAGTTAAAAACAGTTCTAAAAGTCATTTGTCTGTGATAATGCAAAGGCAGACACACAGCGACGTACCTATCATAGGCCATGATGCCCAGAATGGTCATCTCATAGCAAGCATATGTGTAAATAACATAGATTTGAGTGAAACAGGCTGGACGTGAGATCAAGTGAGAGTCAGACATGAGGTCCATGAGGAATCTGGGGAAGAAACCAGCGGAGCCGTACAGAGAGTTGACAGACAACAATGCAATGAACATGTACATGGGCTCATGCAACGACTTCTCCCTTGAGATCACCAATATTATGATCAGATTTGCAGAGACAATGAAGCTGTAGAGCAGGAGGGAAAAGACAAAGGCGATATAGTAGTAGCTTCCGATGTTCACAAACATTGTAAACTCAAAGTAAAAGGGAGCTGTGTCGTTTTCCATTTCACCCACACTAAATCAGCAACAAAAAATTCAGTCGATTCGTCTTCACTGTTTGACAAACTCTGGTTCCTGTTTCTGGAAAGCAATGGCAGCATCTGTAAGGGTTTAAGCAGTTGTGATGATCAAGTGGTAAATACATAGAGCCTTATTGAAAAGTAGTGTCACACAGCTGTGGTCAAACCTACCATAGTTTCACTGCGTTACTGAACTGGATCACCTGGAGGTCTGCTCTACATTTTGCTCTGAGCTGGATCTGTTGACACCCTCTAGGAGTGTGGCTAATAAGTAAGACAAGATAATTTTAAGTGACTCTGTGACGTCAAAGCTTTTTTACTCTGGGGAATTCTGATGGTGAGATTGTCATCCTGTCCTCCATCCCTCCATCCATCAATCCATTATGGTGCCAATCCTAGCTGACACTAAGCGTGAAGATTATCATTGTAATAATAAATGTATTACTCGACTTAATGCATCTCAAAATGTATAAGACCATAGAGGCAATGAATGCATCACTTGTCAAAATGATGCTATGTTCTGTGCTGATTCACCTTCACTTTAAACCAGCATCTGAAGGCTTTCACACCTGCCTGGTTTGGTGCAGACCCTCAGACTTTGAGTTTAGTCAGAACCAAAAATCACAGGAGTGAAAGGAGCCTTGGAACATGATCCAGACCAACAGACCAAAATATAGGATAGTTCGGACAGAAAGTTGAGACAGCATTAAACAACAGGAGAAGAAGAAAAAGAAGTGGTTACTTGTCTGTGATGATGTAATGTTTGAATGACATGGATGTTCATTTAGTGCACTCAAGCTATGTGTGAAGTACTGCACCTGGAGTTATTGATGCTGGTTATGATAAACTATTAATGTCATGAACCGATTCATTCATTTTCTCCATTCCAACAAAAAGACCACCACCCTTTGAATTGACAGGATGCTGACGTCAGATAATCACTCATTTACAAATCCATCATTGTCAAGTATTGTTTAAACAGCACATGCTTGGATATGTTCACTTTGTGTGTTCCCTAATATAAAGTGTTCCCAAAATTTTCACTGGGCAACACGAAACGAAAATTAACCTGATGACATGAACCTTGGCTCTGACCTTGGTACAGAGTTTCAGATGAAAACGCCCTTGACAGTTACGAAACTTCCCCACAATGCATATCAAGATTTGTGATAACACTGTAGGCAGATATTTTATTCAGGCTAGGGAGTTTCACATCTGCAATTAGTATTTCCTAATGAGAGCCCTTTAGAGGAACAATGTACACCCTGAGTGTTGTTTTTCTTTGTCTTGTTTGCAGTATTGTCAAATTTGCTTGTGTATTTGCATGTTTCCTTAAAGGTACAGTGTGTAGAATTTCGTCATATCTAGTGTTGAAGTTGCATGTTGCAGCTGAACACCCCTCAGCTCACCCTCCCCTTCCAAACATGAAAAAGAAACTCTGGTAGCTTCAGTTGTCATAAAAACTCAAAATGTGTTTAGTTTGTCCAGTCTGGACTAATATAAAAAACATGGCGGCCTCTGTAGAGAAGACCCCCTTGATGTAAATATAAAGTATTTAAATATAAAGGGCTTTTTCTGGGGTAAAGAAAAGTACAATTTATACAATTTACATGAAACAAACTAGTGAAGACATCATAAGGATTATTCTACATTAAATTTCTGCCAGTAGATCCCTTTCACCTAAATCTTACACACTGGACCTTGTGCAGTGTGTTGAGCTCTCAGGGACACCGTACTATGGGCAGTGTGTAGCTTATTATACATAGAGACAGGTCTGTTGCAAATAATTGTTGATGGGTTTAATTGTTTTGTTTCTGGGTTTTGTGTTTTTCTCAGTAACCAACCAGATCAATTAAGACCAATACTAAGAATAAAGATTTGATAGTTGAATTTACTGAAACATTATCAAAAGAAAATCAACATTGGCGTGGTTGTAACGTTTTTATTTCCAGTTTTAGTCAGTTAGTAAGATACTGACTTCAGGGTCTGTCTGTATGTACTGACCACAATAATAACTGCATACTGTATGTGAGTCCTTGAACACCAACAACATGGTTCCCTGTGAGTGAAGAAATTTGACAGCTTTTGGCATAAACTATTAAATTCAATGTAAAATGAGAATAACAGCACTGTTTAAAATAAATGACAAAATATTGTGTTTAACACTTCGTCCCATGAGGTCAGTGTACAATGACCATTGGATCATCATTAGTTAGCTGAAGCCAGCCCTGTTCCCTGAGGCCTTGTTGTTTTCCACCGACACACACAAGGGTCATCACAGTAATGATACCCACGTGCATTGGGCCTCTGAACGTGGTGGTAATACACAAGTCAGTATGGTGAATGGTAATTAGGATATATTTTATTATTGTGATTGTAAAAAATATACACACATAGACACATACAAGCAAACATGTTCGCTTTTGTAATTTTAGGGGAAATTTACATTGACATTCATTAAATTCCTAGAAACTTCAACTACAGAGCATAACCTAATCTTATGTGAGAAAATAATTGCTAAAAATATGAGTAACGACAGTGAACTATGTAACACTGAGTTGGGGATTTTAAATGTTAAACTAAGATTATTAAGGAAAAAAAAGCGAGCATTAGCATCAGCTGAATTGTAGGTTTCTACAGTTTGCCTTCATCCTGCAAACGCATCTTATCTAGAATAATTAAAACAGATGAGATGAAGAAGATGAGGTTTTTTTCGATGCGTCACATTGATTAAGAGCACACACATAAAAACATTAACTAAAACGTTACAAAACAACACTTACATATGTGTAACATGTTTTGATGGGTTCATTGTCTTAATTTTTTTACTCATCAGACATAAATATAGATTTTTCTGAACCCTGCATAACACAAATGAACACATACTGTATAGACCTGTAGTCCTATGAAGTCCACTGATGCACATGTTGTCCAAACACATGGGTTCATGTAGGTTTTAATCATATATTATTGTTTAACACCAAAATTGCACAATAATATAATAAAGTAAAGGAGAAATAAGTGAGTCAACTACCTACAATCCATCCATACCAGTCTGTGAGCCTACAGATCTTAGCCTGCACTCCAGTCGACAGGCCTCAAGCATGTCCTCAAAGAATTGAACAGGTTCCACTACTGATCTGTCTTCAGGCAACACAAGAGCACAGGTTTGTTTCAACGTGTAATGTTGGGCCTCCTGCAATAATATTAGTTTATCAATATATTGAAATAATGTCTGTTAGCTCTTATTACTGAACACATTTAGTTTCACTGACCGAAGCCTGAGACCAGAAAAACTAAAGCAGTTCCTCCGAAAAGAACATGGTCCTTTTATTTCTGTAGGTTTGATGAATGTTCAATACTAATATTAACTTTGTCACTAAATCAATTTATAAATGGAGAAATATTTTCTGATACGCAGGATAGGAGCAGACTTTAAACACCTCATCCTCCACCTTTTACATCCTATTTGAATGTTAAAACTTTTACACATACAAACACAAATATAAAAGAAAAATGTATTATTATTTGTTGATGAGTTGTGACAATCACAAACACGAATCAACCGTTGTCAAATACATACTGCATATCAAACCTTCAGTCGCAGTTTAAATCTTTGACCTGCCGTCACGCACAAGGAGATTATTCTTTTTCTAACTTTAGTCAGGATCAGCCCGTAGATAATAGGGTTGATTAGAGGGGGGATCAGGAGAAACTGTATGGCCATAAAGTTCTTTAGACTCTGCGGCACAGACGATGATCCATACCTCGAGTACATGACGTCAAAAAGCAAAGCAGCAGTGACATTAAGCAAACACAACAAATGTGGCACACATGTCTGTGTGAACTTCCTCACGCTGTCTTTTGATTTTAAAGCCGACCTCACCACCTGCACATATGAATTCAAGATGAAGAGGACGTGCCCTATGTAGACAGAAATCACAATCAGTCCAACAATATCGTTTACCGTTGTTGCACCGCAAGCAAGTTTGACAATAGCCCAATTCTCACAGTAGAGTTTTTGTATCTGAGAACCACACAGTCTCAGGTTGGATGCCAAAACTACAATCATTATGTCATTGGAGAGAGGAACGAGCCAGGACAGACACACTAATAAAGCAGTCCTCCGGACAGACATGTGGCTGTGGTACTTCAGTGGCAGACATATGGCCACATATCGGTCATAGGCCATCAGAGCTAGAATAGAGAAATCAATTTTTGCAGAGGAGTACAACACAAAGATCTGCAGAAGGCATCCCGCATACGATATCACCTTTATATCAGACAGAAGATCGAAGGCAAACTTTGGATAGAAGCCTGTCGTCCCATAGATCGCATTGATGCACAAACTACACAAACAAATATACATGGGTTCATGTAGGGTTCGATCCAGTGCTATGATAACAACGAGAGACACATTAACCAGCAGAATAGCACAATAAGATAATAGAGTGAGAGAGAAAAGTGTGGCTCTGTAGTTGACTGTTGCATTGAAGCCAGACAGTGAAAATACAACGATACCAGCAGGATTGATCATTTTGAAGGGATCCTCCAACACAAAACACACTCTCAGACTGTATGTATGCAGGAAGCGGTGCACTGAAAAGCAGAAGAAACGTTTACTGTCTTTCAGTGGTGTGTGTGCTCAGTCGCTTTGGTGTTGCACACGGCTGAGTCAGGGATTTATATTTCATAGGGGACAGCCCCTATTCACATGTAGGCGTCTGACAGAGAGTTAGAGTCCTGACGTCACATCGAGCTGAGGGAACTAATTGTCTTAATTTCTTTCACCCAGCTTTCTAAAAGAAAATGAAGCCTTTTTGTCGAGATCATTTCCCATATTTTCACACATATTGTCAGATGCAGTATCTACAGTACGTCCAAATCCAAAAAAACATTAGTGGTTATTACCCTCTCCTTCAAGTAATATTTTTTGCTTTTTAATTGGCAACTAAAAATGAAGAAAAAACTCAGAGCACATGAAGA